AACTATCACATATTGTCCATAGCAAAATAAGGGACAAAATCTTGAACCCCAGAAGCCCAGGTTTCCACACGCATCAATGGATGTTAAAACACCTGTGTTCCTCTCTGCTGCATACTTGCCCTACTCCCGGCCTGCCACCCGCCACCAGAGCTTACTTTGTTTCAACTTCCAATCTTGAGTTCTGTGTCTTTGGAGCTACATCAAGATTTTTTCCCCAGATAGTTCTAGCAAATGCCAAACTGAGTATATTCCTGGCCATTTGGAATCGTATATAACCTAGGCAAGCATCTATCTGTCTGGATGACAAACCAAGCTCCCAAAGCCCCAGCTAAGCCAGCCCTCCTCAGCTTGCACCTTTCAAAGGCTTTACTGACAAAGACAAGTTAGCAGAGTCATAAATTGTACAGTCTGATATGATTATCTTTGCTGATCACCATGTGGGCAGTTCAATGCATGGAACAGATGCTTGCCAAGGGACCCCACTACCACTTATGCCCAATACATACAATCAAATTATAATTAGCTGAGATATCTTTAGTTGATCATAACAATATTCATTTATATTTGGGGATACTTGTCAAGGTCTGAGTATAAGATATATTCCCCCAAAGGCTTGGGGTGCTGGGGCTTGGTTGTCAGCTGACAGACATTGGGGAAGTAATTGGATCCTGAGATCTCAGACTTGATCAACGGTTAATTCCTTGATGGATTCATAACGTGATGGCATTTGGGAGAATGTTCTGGAAAGATGTACCTTGTCCCTGGTCTGCCTGTCTGTCTGCCCCCCCCCCTCTCCTCTTTTCTGGTAACATGAGGTGAGGAACTTTGGCTTGCTACACACTCCCAATGCCATGATGCTCTGCCTCTTGCCAGGCCCACAGCAATGGACTCAATCAACCATGATCTGCAACCTCTGCAACTGTAAGGCAAATTAAATCCTTCCTCCAGCTTTAAGTTTATCTCAAGTACAGTGTCCTTTCTACTGCACACGTTTACAATGTATTTCACATACAGTACTTTATTTGATTCAAGAAAAAATTAGTGATGCTATCATATCCAACTTACTGATGGAGAAACACGTGTTTTCTAGGTATGTCAAGAGGCTAAAGCATCTGCCCTCAAACTGTGTCACAGACTAACCAAAACAGGCCACCAACCTGATGCAAAGCTCTGTCTACTGATCCTAATACCTCATTGTTACATTAAGAAATCTGGCTCAGTCAGGTGCCAGTGGCTCATACTTGTAATCCTAGCTAATCAGGAGGCTGAGATCAGAGGATTGTGGCTTAAAGCCAGCGCAGGCAGGAAAGTCCAAGAGACTCTTATGTCCAATTAACCACCAGAAAACCAGAAGCAAAGCTGTGGCTCAAAGTGGTAGAGGGCTAGCCTTGAGTGAAAAAGCTCAGGGACAGCACCCAGACCCTTGTTTCAAGCTCCATGACTGATAAAAGGAAGAAAAGAAAAGAAGAGAAGAGAAATAAACCTGGATTGGATTTGCCAAAAGTATATTTGAAGTACTCAATGATCTAACTTTATTTAACATATGATTGCTTTGGGATTTAATAGTCCACCTCCATTTATTAAAACACACAAACAGATTTGTGTGTGATTTGAAATGCTAAGTTATAGAGATGTGCAGTCCAATAGAGTAGCTAGTAACCAATTTTGATTTCTATTTTATGTAGTTAAAATTAAATGCACAAATCTAGTTCTTCAGTCATACTACCAAAATTTCGACTATTCGAAATCCACAATTGGCTAGAGCCTTAGACAGGGCAGATTCTACTGGATAGTAATGTAAAGTGTCATATCAAGAGAAACAAGACTTTAGAAAAAGCCAGAAAAACCAAGACAGACCAAAGTGCTGTCACCTGCTGATATTAAAGGTAGTTTATGGCTGATAAAGAAGATTGCAATAGAGGGGAAAACCAGGAGACTGCTCTTAGCTGCATACCTATCTGCCCAGATAAAAGGCAAAGCTAATTTTATAGCAGATAGGTTGCATTTGGTTCTTAAACTCTAAGAGATTAGAATGAATTGTTACATAAAGTAGCCACTGAAGAGGATCTGAAGCAGACTGAAATAGAACTAGGTTCAAAATGAAACTTCACTAGCTTCTAATTTATTTAAATACAATTTACATTTTATACCTAACAGCTATGTTTCATTCATTCTATATAATATGGTATCAATTTTGTACCTTTAAAGAGAAGTTAAAATAGTATAGGGGTTGTTTTTAGATAAATTCATGTATCATCAAAAGAACTATAAAAATCAGGATTAAGAGTAGCTCAGTGGTAGAGCACTTGATCAACATTCATAAAGTGTTAAATTTGATCCTAGGTGCCACTAACAAAAAAAGGTAAGTAATATATTCTCATTCGTTCATGGATCCACTGAAACTGAACACATAAAAACCTAATCATCTAGAGTGGTAGTCCAAAAAGTGAAACAAAAATTCTACCAAATCTTTTTACTTCAAAAATAGGTAATTTAAAAAGAGAAAGAAAGCCAGGTACTGGTGGCTCACATCTGTAATCTTAGCTGCTCAGAAGACAGCTCTAAGGACTGTGGTTCAGAGCCAGCCTAGGCAAGAAAGTCCAAGAGACTCTTATCTCCAATTAACCACCAGAAAACCAGAAGTGGAGCTGTGGCTCAAAGTGGTAGAGTGCTAGCCTTGAGCAAGAGAACCCAGGAAGAGTGCCCAAGCCCTGAGTTCAAGCCCCACAACCAACAAAAACAGAGAAAGAGATAAAACAATCTGCCTTTACATAAGGAACTATGGATTAGGATAACCAAATATTCCAGCTGTGAGGAAAATGGCTGGCTTATAAGAAAAGCCTAGATAATGGAATGATGGGAATTGGAAAATCATCATTCTGAAACCCCTACTGAAATAATCAACTCAATCAATGATCGTTAGGGAATGCTTAAAACAATGGGTTAAAGGTAGATCAAGAACTGAACATGCACACGGTATAAAGTTGAACACACAGGAGTTGGGAATTTAGTTCCGTGGAAGAGTACTTGCTAGTTCTCAGCTCTGAAAAAAAGAAGTTGAAAACCCATATACTACAGGCTGGACCCAAGGGAGAAAGTAGTGGAGGATATGGTAACCAACTCTAACTGCAATCATTCAGCATCACTAATCCTGGCATGTGAGTTGTAATTTGTCATTCTATCTTTCATGAGAATTACTAGGTTAAATTTGAGTATTTTAAGCATTATTAATTGATATATGCTAACTCCTAAAACAGACTAGACCTTTAAAATTAAGAAATGAGTTTAGCCAAGGCAGTGGTAAATCACGCCTTTGATTCTAGCTACCCTGAAAGCTGAGATCTGAGGGCTGAGGCTCTAAACCAGCCAGGGTTAAACAAATCTTTGAGACCCATCTCCAAATAGCCTGCAAAAACTCAGAACTGGAAATATGGTTCAAGTGTTAGGACACCAGACCTGAGCGAAAAAGCCATGTGACAATAAGAGGCCCTGAGACCAAGCCTCTATACTCGCATATACAAAAGGGAGAGGAAGGGAGGATTATCCGAGAACCATTGGAGTAAGAAGTGAAAAGAATCTTACAGGTAAAATAGACCAAAAAGTAAAAGAGCACAGTAATAATTTGGCTATGCAACTACATAACTATGCCTTAAAAAAATTTAAAAAAGTCCCCTGACCCCTAACAAATACTTCTCAGGCTCTGTTTCTCTAGCTTCCCTGGGGAGAGGGAGAGGTGTGGAACTAGCCCAAAAGTGTCACAGTTCTCCCAAGATTCGCTATTCTCCATCATTCCACAGAAATAGCTTGATCCGAAAGGAGTAAAAGACTATCAGCCTCTCTCCAACCCCCTGACTAAGGGAACATTCATCAACCGCAGGTAAAAGAGCCAGAGGTAAGACACAAGTCCGAATCGGTGGCATCATTCTTGGCTGGAGTCAAAAACCGTAATTCCAGCATCCACCCTAACACCACAGGTCAATGTATTATTATTATTATTACTATTATTATTATTTCAGACTCATTTATCCATCTCTAAGGGAGATTTCGTTCGAAGGACAATTTCCTGGGTATGAAGTTACTGTAGGATGGAAGTTCTTTTTTAATACAGTATTTCCCCCTAAATAAGTCACAGACCCCCTCTAGCTGGACAGTGGTCCTTGAGATGGGAGATTTGGGGAGGAAGGAAATGGTACTGGGAAGGGGATTTCGGCCAAGAGGCGGCAGGTGGGGAAGGAGATAAAAAAAAAAACAAGGTCAGGGCCTTCTGATGGCAAAGGTCGTGGGAGAAAGAAGAGAGGCGAGAAGGCGCAGGAACGCTGAAAAAGAGGCCGAGGCATGCCTTACTTGCCCATGCCAAATGGGAAGTTGGGAACTGCGTTAGAGCAAGCCAGGGCAGATTGCATTTCACACCAGATAGAGACCAGCCTCCCTCCCCGCGCCCGACCTACCCCACGGATCCGCTCCATCCCGCCCGGGTCAAAGCCAATGGGGGAAACAACCAGAAAAGTCCCCCAGGCTCTGTTCTTGCCAAATAGCTCACGAATGGGCACCCTGTGTGTGTGTGTGTGTGTGTGTGTGTGTGTGTGTGTGTGTGTGTGTGTGTGTGTGTGTGTGTGTGTGTGTGTGTTCAAATGGACAGAGCCACCATCGGATGGTCGCCAAAGGGACCAGGCGCCTGAGAAACTCTGCTGGGAAATTCCAAATCGAGGTGGGTGGCGAGGGTGGGTATCGAACCAGTGGCGCGGGCCAGGCTTAAAACCCAGCCCCACAGAATAAAATGCAACAAATAAAGGGGGATTAAAGAAGAGACCAGGGGAACGACAACCGAGCAGGTGCGGGGAGAGGGATCCGAGCTTGGGGGTGGACACCGGGTGGGCCACGAGTCGCCCCACCATCCAGAGCTGGAGAACATGAGTGAGAGGCGGGGAGGGGGCCGGGGGGACCCGAAGATGGTGAGACCGCCACCCCGCGCCCCGTCCCGGGGCGTCCGCGCCACTCACCCCGTTGGCGGCCGCCATCTGCACCACGATCTCGGTGGCCGTCTTGCTGAAGTACCTGCCGTCGCTGCCCACCACCATGGTGCAGCCCTGGCGGTCGCGCAGGTCGATGGACGACAGCACGCTCTGGATGAAGTTGGGCAGGTAGTTGCGCTGGCCCTCGAAGAGGCCGGTGGGCCGCCGCAGCCCCCCGCCGCCCGCCGGCCGCTGGTCTTCGTAGGGCGCCGTGGGCACGGTCAGCACGGGGATGGGGCTCCCCTCCATCGCGCTGCCCCGCCTCTGGTTCGGGTCCTGCCGCCGGCTCCCGGAGCCACAGGCGATCCGATCGGTCTGCGGCGCACCCCACCGGGCCCGGCCCGGCGCGCCGGACTCCGCCTCGCGCCCGCCCCCTCCCCAGCCGCCCTCCCACCCCACCCACCCTCCTCCTCTCGGAGCGCTGTCCCGAGGCCCGGGGCCACCCCAGCCGCTGGGTCCCTCCTTCCCCTCTTCAAGCCGATCGCCGGCCCGAGCTGGCTTTCGTTTCTTTCCCTCGGCTGCTCTCACTTTTGGACTGTTCTAGGGCCAGCCTGCCATCCCTCCCGGGACCAGGCCCCCTGGTGGCTTCCCCCCCCCTCCGCCCCCCAGACACTCCCTGGGCAAGAAAATAGCTTGGGGGGGGGTGAGCTTGAGCAGAGTCCGCGGGGACCTCCCACACCCTCCCCCCCAGCACCCCGAGAGCGCGCGGAGCAGTGGACACGCACAAGTTTCTCTCTTGACACCAGGGGGTTGAACACTTTTGCCACCAGCAAACAGCCCTAGCCAAAAATAACCCTGGAAAGGCGAGCTGAGAATTGTTATCTTCTGCCAGAGGTGAAACTGGAGGCTGTGTGTGTGTGTGTGTGTGTTGTGTGAGTGTATATGCACACGCACCGCTGCCATTTGTTGCAGGGAATCACACACTGTCAAAGTCCTTCCATCCTGGAACCTACTCAGATGTATTTGCTTGTTTATTTGTTGTGGTGGTTGCAACAGACCCAGATTTTCTTAGCCTAGCCTTGCTCACTCTCCTCCCCCACCTGCTGAAGAAGCAGTCTTCCTTCCACGTTGAACTCTTCTCCCAAGCCATCACAAGTGGCTGGAAGCCCTTTTAATGGCTTGCCGAGAGTGACAGAGTTATGGGAAAAACAAAAGCTAGGTACCAAGTACTAAATAGGCTGTCTGACAGTGTGCTAGATCCTTTCCTGAACATATGTCAGGAAATGGAGACTTACTTTCTCTCCATAATTCCTGCCTGAAGTCCAACACCAAGAAAATCTCCATAGAATTTCATCCAAAGGAACAAAAACTCATTTTCATGTGTGTGTGTGCGCGCGTGCTTGTCCTAGGTGCTGTCTCTGAGCTTTTTAGCTCAAGACTAGCACTCTACCACTTGAGCCATAGCTGCATTTCTGGCTTTCCTGCCTGGCCTGGCTTCCAAACTGATCCTCAGATCTCAGCTTCCTGAATAGCCAGGATTATAGGCATGAGCCAGCTGGTCCTGGTTAAGAAATCATTCTTCTCTTTGCCTCTATCTCCTGTTAGTTCTAAGACAGCGTTGTACCCATGGAAGCTATTGTTCAAAACTTTGCTGCTCTCCTTGCTTCTCTGCTCTCCAAATATCTATGTCCTGGGAACACAGAGGGCTTGCTCCAGGGTTGTAAAGCATTTGTTCATAGTATGGTAACTATGAGTAGTAACTCATAGCCATGGTATAGGTTTTGCATCTGGGTTTTCTTTAGAGGCTAAAACCCATGGAAAGAAGTAGGAATGATATGCATACTACCCTCATTTCAGTTTTTTATTGTGATGTACAGAGGGGTTACACTTATATAAGTCAGGTAAAGAGTGCATTTCTTTTTGGACAATGGCATTCCTTCCCTTGCTCTCTGCCAGTTTTCCCCTCCCATCCCCACCCACAATTGTATAGTATCTAGTGAGTACCACTGCTGCATTTGTTTACCTTTTTCCCCTCTATTTCTGTGCCTACTCCTTTATTCTCCCCAAAACAGATAAACTTATACACAGGATAAAAGGTACCAAAAACAAAAACAGTGACGAGAGAAAAATACACAAAAACAAACATAAAAAAACTCTTATTTCTATTTCTCGGGGTTCATTTCAATAAATATCACTTTATATGATCATATGCACATAACTATTGAGCCTTTGTGATGGTTTCCTAAGAGTGTCCTCCTTTGGTTGTAAGGCCAAGGACCTCTAGCCAGCAAGCACGACATTTGCAATCAGCCCAAATTCCTGGGTTCCCTCTCTTTTTTATTAATAGCACTGAAGCCTGGAAGGGAAACCCTGAAACTAATAACTGAGATCTACCAGGACATCTCAGCCGTGGTCTTAATCAGTAAAGAGTGTGGGTGTTTTCCTTGGGGGAGGGGTATGATGGAGTAGGAAAGAGACATGGGTCAAAGAGTACAATATTTGTGTTTCATTTTCTGAGCTATATTGCACAACATGTAACCATAGTTAAGAAGAACATTTCAGAATTGCTATGAAGATGAATCAAATGCCTCCCTACAGGGAGGGAGGAGCTATTTCAGATGACAGATAGGTTAGTTCGCTTGAGTTAATCATTCCACATTGCATGCATACATCATAACATTGTACTGTTATACTAAAAATATATGCTGTCATAATTCATTGATTCATAATGTTCATAAAGAATACTGGGGAGGGGAGGTATTAGTTTTCCTCTCCTCTCAAGTCAGCCTCCTAGCGTCTACCCCTCTAAAGTCCCTATCTTTATACGGCTGGGTTAGCATTTTGGTTCAGCACCGAATAGGTTCTTCAGGGGACATTAAACACATCTCTATAGTGCAGGATTTCGTAAATCACTTTCTAATGTCATTTCATTTATAAAGAAAGACAGTGTGAGTCTTGTGAGAAGAATGGATGTGATGAGTTCTCTACCCCAGGAAAGGGAGAGATGCAACCATCTCCCCTCACAAGAGTTTCCACGTAGGCCCATGTCTCTCGACTTGCTGCGCCTCCTTCTCCTACCATCACAGCCATTCTTCCTTCCACTGGAGACAGGGCAATAATGTTAGCTATCTACTCGTAGTCATCAACTTCATATATGTCGTTATTATCGCTATTTCCTACCATAAAGCAAGAGTTAACTTTATATCTTTATAGACCACTATAGTCCTGAAGGACCTTTAGGCAGATGAGATATTCTACAAAAATTGAGTTTCTTTATCAGAGTTTTGTTTTTGTTGTTTTTACTGTGGAAACTCAAAGGTACAAAAAAAGGAGTTGTCAGCTAAAAATATCTCTCTTCAAAGCTGCCTCTCCTTTCTTTCTTTCTTTCTTTCTTTCTTTCTTTCTTTCTTTCTTTCTTTCTTTCTTTCTTTCTTTCTTTCTTTCTTTCTTTCTTTCTTTCTTTCTTTCTCTTTCTTATTTATTTATTTTTGCCAGTCTTCAGACTTGAACTCCAGGCCTGAGCACTGTCCCTGCATTTTCATGCTCAAAGCTAATGGCTCTACCATTTGAGGCACAGCTCCATTTCTGGCTTTTTGTGGTTAATTGGAGAGAAGTGTCTCATGGATTGTCCTGCCCAAGCTGGCTTCAAACCAAGATCCACAGATCTCAACCTCCTAAGTAGCTAGGATCACAGGCATGAGCCATAGGCACCCAGCTCTGCCTCTGAATTTTAACGGGTTCATTTGAATGAATTTGTCACAGTGATAGAGAAAGAAAGCTGAGAAGGTCTCAGATAAGAAAGGCCTCCCTCAGAGATGCTAGCTGGTAAAATGAGAAGGCTGGATTTCACCAGGATTCCCAAAGGGCTTTCCCTAGAACAGTGGACTCTTCCAAAGTTGCTCAGGCCAGAGCATCAATGCTGAATAACATTTTACCTCCAGACACTCTGTCCACTCTTGGAGCCCATCAATGCACATTGTCATGGGACTCCTTCTGAGAGGCGGTGGAGAGACAACGCCAGCTTCATGTCGCTAAACCTAGTATTTCTCAACCTAAGCTTACCTGTCTGTTTTGCTTAAGAGAACTAGACAAGCCCCATAATTGCTGACCCAGCCTCTAGGCCCTCAGCAAGCTAGCTTGGGGATAAATCTGTGTTTCTAGTTCTCAGGGGCTACTCACTCCTGTGTGCCAAGCTCTGAGCGTCTCTGCAGCCACAGAGCTGATGAAGGAAGGTAACTTTAGGACGACACCAGTATCATGCATTCTGTCTGTACTCTCTCCCCTCTCCCCTGCCTGCAGGGAAACATCTGTTTGGGTTACAGTAGCTATGTGCCCCTGCTGAGTCACAGTCTACTTCTGGGCACACAGGGAATGTTAACAACATGCTGTTGACTCACTGACTCTAAGAGCAGAAGAAATGCCAAAAGTGCAGGGCAGGAGGCAGAAAGGCAAGTGGAAAAATATCTCAGGGCAGGCTTCCAAGGACGCTCTGGTTTGTTGTTTTTACAATCTGTCCAAACACCTTCTGATGACAGATATATACATTTATATATGTGAATTGACATAGATCACACATAGCATATGTATATAATATATAATGTATCACACACATAGTTTTATATAAAAATTTATATTATCTATGATAGGTTATAGATAATAATATATATTATATATGTATTATATAAGCCATATAATACATATATTAACCATATATATGTCATATATTATATACTATATAATATATGAAATCATTTAATATATGTACTACAATATAAAACATCTATAAGTATTATATTTTACATATGACACATATACATGATTATATATGCTACATATACATATTTGTATGATACATATTTGTATATGATATGTTATATACATTATACATTGCATACAATATATATACAATATAAATACAATATACAATATATACATTATATACAAAATTATATACAGGGTTGGGAAGGTGGCTCAGTGGTAGAGGGCTTGCCTTGCATGCTTGAGGCCCTGGGTTCTATTCTTCAGCACCACATAAGCAAAAAAGAAAAAAGCCGGAAGTGGCGCTGTGACTCAAGTGGTAGAGCACTAGCCTTGAGCTGAAGAGCTGAGGGACAGCGCCCAGGCCCAGAGTTCAGGCCCCACGACCGGACCCAAAAAAAATAAAAAAATTATATACAATTATGTATATGCATCATATTGTATACATGTATGTATATAACACACATATTAGAATACATATACTATATATATTAATTATATATGTTATACAAAGTATATATTATTCCATTATATATAACATCATATAATTATTCTATTATATATAATTATATGTATTATGTATTTATTAATATTATATATGTTATACATTACTATATATTAATAT